AAGACATATGTGCATTATTTTAGGAGATCGAGAGGGAGGCAGAAGATTTTTCTATCAACTGTAGCTAAGGTGGCTACTTCGCAAAATTCAGCACGTATCAGCGTTTGTAGACGACGACATAGATACTGAAAAGTGAGCAGAAATTGCTGACAGAATGTATGAATGGATGTCTTCACAAGTAAAATCTGTACTTGACAAATCGACAGACGAACTAATAGACAAAATAAAAATTTAAATAGGTGTTCTGACAAAGCAGATAATGACGATAAGCTGACTAGTATTCACATTATTCAAAAGACAGAGAGATAGTGTTTGTCAAAGCGAACAAGTTATTACAATTCAATGGCATTTATGTTCACAGTTATCTAAAAATGTAGTCTGTATGCTCAGACTGATCGGACTGCAGCTGATTAGCGAACACCATATTGTCGGCATGAGCTTTTGTTGAAAGGAGCTCTAGTGTAATTCAAAAAGGTGCGTTCATATCATATCACCTCAACTCCTGCATTCAGACTTATTATTGTCATTGTTGTTCTCTTGAAGTTTTGAGTGGAACATAGAGCTTCAACAGCATGTCTCCACCTTGTTCTGTTCACTAATGTCATCCTTTTACCTGGCCTCATGACTGTCATCAGTCCATCATCCCATCCTCTCTAAACGATTTTCTCCATTTCAACGTCTAATTGACGCCACATCCATCGTTTCTCAGTTGTCTTTCACTCGATCATCGAACCACGCAGTTTTCTTAGAATATGTCTGATCCATCTTCTGCTTGTCCTATGTATTTGTTGAAAAGTGGGTCCTGCATAATTCATTGGTTCTCATAGTTCCACTTTGTCAATTATTTTTGGATAAACATTTCCTCATCACGATGGAGGCAGCGGAGGCAGTTGTTGTTTACTGACTGCAGTAGCTTTTAAATGCTTATCGTCACATGTGTGGCACGTTTTCGGCATGTTTTGAAGAACTGACTCACGAAGCTAATTTGGCATTCATAGTCTGAATTGTGTTCTTCAAGCCGTTGGAGTAGAGGATATTTTTCAACAGATTGCATCTGAGAATTCATCTGAAGAAATGCACAAATGAAACTTCAACAAACCGTATAAGCAGTCGCAATTCACATGTTGAATCTTCGGGTCTGCATACAATTTTTAAGATAATACAAATATCTAATGAACTCCAACAGCCTGAAGAACACAATTCAGACTATGAATGCCAAATTAGCTTCGTGAGTCAGTTCTTCAACACAAGCCAAAAACGTGTCACACGTGTGACGATGAGCATTTGAAAGCTTATGCAGTCAGTAAACAACAACTGCCTCCGCTTCTTCCATGGCGATGAGGAAATGATCGGCTAAAAATTATTGACAACGTGAAACTATGAGAACCCATGAATTATGCAGGATCCATTTTTCAACAAATATATAGGACAAGCAGAAGATGGATCAGACATATTCTGAGCTAACTGTTCGATGACATTGAGAGGAGGCTCGATGCCCCAAGGAGTAGATGACTGAGAAACGACGGATTTGGTGTCAGTTTGACGTTGAAATGTAGAAAATCGTTTGAGGAGGATGAGAAAAGCGAATGATGGCAATCGTGAAGCAAAGAAAAACGATGAAAGTAGAAAATAGAATAAGATGGAGACATGCTGTTAAAGCTCCATCAAAACGTCAAAGGAACAATAAAGACCACACTAGCTTATATATGAATATGTGCTCATCGAGGGATTATAATCAGCCTGTTGCCTAATCAGAATGTGTTTTGCTGTGCTTTTATCTCGTTGAAGAAGAAATATCATATAGACATAGCAGGAAACTGCGATGAAAGACACAATCGCTGCAAATTTCATACCTAATTAGTGAAAATGTAATCAATACAGAAAACTGTCGACCAACTCACCAAATATTCTTCTCTAATTTGAATTTCTATGGTATAAACAAGTCTGGATGAAGGTGTTGAGGTGAGATGAGTTGGAAGAGACTTTGTGAATTTCACTAAGGTATTTCTTCAACAAAAGCTCATGCTGAAAATGTGCTGTTCAATAATTAGCTGCATTCCGATAAGTCTGAACAGACAGAGAGCTTTTTCAGTTAACTGTGTACAGAAATGTCATTGAAATGTAATAATTTGTTTTCTTTGACAAAAATCAACAGTCTTTTGAATAGTGTGAATTTTAGTCAATCTTTTCATGAAACATCTTAAGCATAGAAAACTGCTGATGGTGAACTCAGTTACCTGGTAATTTCTTTCTAACCATTGAAGTTGGATTCACATTCACAATCAGTAAGCGTTAGTCTTATTAACTGAAGTGTTTGTTGCACATTATCCCGTAGAAGAGGGGATGTCATACACAATTGGTATTCAACGGATTTTTGTGAGTCCAATAAATTTATGTCACGAGAAGTCTGAATCTATTCCAGCTGAGATTGAAGGCGTATTATCTGAAACGATTCTATATTCACAAATTTCCCGACTAGGAACACGTTTAATTACACATTACTTGCAAATTTTATGGGACATAAATATTCCGAATGAGTTGCGTAAATGGAAATGCTTTCAGATAGGTGTGTAAATCCGAGGAATTCAGGGTAAATTATGCTCTGATCAGCCTGTTGGCGAATGTTCTCGCTTTTTCCTTTCCTTCACTTTCCGCGGTGGAACCTAGAGCTTCAAGCTGGTCACTTGAAGTTTCTGTAGCAGCATTTATTTTACAGGGATGGGGTTGCTAACCTTGTGCTTAACCTTTCCTCTTTACCAGCTTTATTTCTGACTTAGCATGGAAAAGGAGTGGGTTGGCCGGACATCGAACTCCGGACCATGTGCATGGTCGGCGAGCATCCTAACCACTATGCCACCGACGCTGTATTTTAGTGACTATTTTTAAAAGTGAAATATGTGCATTAAATCATTTTCGGGGAAAATCGCTCTTCTTCCAAGAGTTATGCTTCTCAGAAATAGCTGTACTAATGTTTTGTAGATTATATTAGGAAGAGAAAGAATATTTACGAGGATGTGTCATTGGAACTGGAAATCTGAGACAACAAATTTCTCCTGATTGATTGGAAGCTGAAATATGATTATATGAGGAATTTGAGTGAGAAAACATGCCTTACGATGTTGAGTAGAGCTGAACTAAGATGTGAGTTGGATGGAATGAGAGTCAAGTCAGCAACAATGATGTTGGTTGGAGGACAATATGATACAATTGAGAAGGGAACAAGTAAGATGAGAAAGATGTGATTTTTCCACAGCAAACGCTGCTGATGGCTGACATGCCTTGCTTCACACGACCAGGTGATTTAGTGAGGCACATTGATGAGGGCGACTAATTGTGATAGCTTATGTATCCTTCACATCCACGTTCATGCGAATCATAGAGAATGTTCGTAGTGAAGGTTATTCGGAGGAAGTTCAACTGCGAAGAAGGTTTCTATCCGTTAGACGGAGAAACGATTCTACAGTTTTTCTTCTAAGGAGTCTTCAATGAATTGTCGTTTGCAAGCAGAGCGTGTTTTTGGTTTTGAGAGTGAATGTTCCATAGACTTTGTGATGAAACGTTTTGGACAGTAGGGTTGTCTTCATTCATTGTTAAGTTCCTTTTCATCATATCATCACTGCTGCAAATGCTGCGAATTCTGTGGCTCAGTGAACGGATGAGTTATCAATTCGTACGAAGTTGCAACCAAATGCGAAATTTTATAGGCTGTCTGATCCGTTTCAATTCACTGGAGATCGATACATATATGTATATATATATTTATTTCAAAAGACTTTTCTGCATCAAACAGTTCATAACAGACAACGGAAAATGATGTGATCAGTCAAATTGGATCAGTGGTATTTAAGACCATGTAGGTATGGATAAAATGAGTTCATAATTGTTTAAAATTCGCGTCAATCTGTGTAGAGACAACACAAGAACGAGGTGAATCGCATTGATTGAGTGGGTTGTATTTGGTTACGTTAAGAGAGCACTCCCAGCAGACAAGTGTGTATTCAGATATTCAGTGTTCTCAGGTGGTAGTATCTTGTACGATGATGAACTTCAAAGTATTTGGAAATAGACAACAACTCTAGTTCCGATCTCACAGAACGGACGAAGTGTACAGATTACACATTACTTGCTATCATTAGAGAAGGTGGGAGATACAAACTAGTATCATCGGAGAAAATATTCACCCAAGATCGGTTTTTTAGTACTTGTATGCTTATATCATAAATGATGAGAAGCCGAGGAGGTAAAGGCTTTCTTCGATTATTTGAAAGTGCATACCAAAGAGTCCTATGGCAAAAAAGAATATGAACCAGTGTACATGTAAACAAGGAAAGGAGAAGCTGACTTCAGTCTACAGCTCACCGAACAACGAAGTGAAGAATGGTTTTAGGAAAAATCAGTGACAATATTCCAACACACTAAAAGGTGAAGCTGTTGAGGCTGATCGATATTAAGTCGGCTGAACAAAAATGGACTGCACACTTTCAACAACAGCTATTCTCACTGACTGTTCGCACACTCAGGCCGACTAAAAAAGATTGCGGAGAATATGGGTCAGAGGCAAATTCCTACTGAAGGCGTTCCACCAAGACTTCAGTGGACCACCAGTATTAATACAACAAACAGTTGCAATGAAGTGAAAATCCCACGTGATAAACACCACAACTCAGACGACCACAGTGAGAAACAACAAACAAACACAGTAGATCACAAACACAATACACGATACGTCAGTCGTACACACCGAAATGTAAAAATCACACCACTCAATTCACACTGACACAGAAACACCATCGACTGCACAGGCACCCACTGAATTATTGAACTATTATTGTGGCACCAATCATCAACTCCATTTTTTCATCCACTCACCCAATCACATACTCAGCCATGATGAGAGTGTTTCCATTGGTCACGTTGGACGACCGACTGAAATGCGTGTTCGCATCACACTCATCACGCATAGTATATATAAGCGGATGCTTCCAGTGATATCATCATCGAAGAATTATACTTTAGTTCAGTTAGAATGGTGAGTGTGCTTGTGTTGGACATTTGATGGTCATGTTCATGCTATTTTTCTTTAGATCTGCTATCTGCTTCTTACACTGGTGGTGATTTCAGCCGTAGACGGTGCCATTGTTAACCCGATTAATCCAGTCACCACCACCGTTGCCACCAAAAGTGCTGTTTATGTTGACCGCAAAAACATTGTCCGACGTGAGTTTAACTTCCATTTTCGTCAGTAAGCGTGCATCCAGAATTTGTTAATATGTATGTATCAATTCTACTTTGTTTGTACGCAAACGCTGCTAGCTGACTGTATGAAGTAGGCTGTCTTCAGTCATTGTGCATTGTAGCGAAGTGTGTTGATGCAATCATACTCATATGTTTCATTTTTTTGCTGTCACGTTGAATGTCATTCACATATACATATATATGATATATATATATATATGGATATATACTCAGCATTTCATTATTCACTTAGAAAGGTAGTTGAGAATGTTAGTTAGCAGGAATTTGATTGGTTTCATTATTTCATCATGATCTGACATTGGTTAGATAACGATTGGAAAACCAGTGACAGAGAGTACTAGACAGCTGTTTCGTCTTATTTCAGAATTCTCTCACAGTTGCCTGGGGCCGAGTGAAAGTTCGTAACAGGTAGAATGCAGTAGTTTGAGTATGTGGAATTAATAGGATGACCAATAGAACGTGTCCCAGTGAATCAGTGGTCTTTGAGCTTGCCCTATAACTGGAAGGTCCTGATTTCGAAAACTTGTGTTGTCTGCGTACTGCATGAGAGGAATCGGAATCTAGGCTGATGACACAGGCGTAAAGTACGCAGTGTGGCTGACTATCTAATACATCTGGAACTGATGTCAGTTCATGATGAATTACTGAAGACAATGTGATTATCACTGAAAATGTCAGTGTGTGAATTCTACATTACTTTGATCACTTTCCCCTCTGTATTCCTTTTAGTTTATGAAATCGATAGATCTAACCAATTACGCATAGCTGCAAAGAAGACTGCTCAAAGAACGTGGTGGGTGTGTTTCTTCCAACCCATTTTGTGTTTATATATTCTTTTTACTTTATGATAACAACGATCGCCTCTTTCCTGGTCATATGTATTCACTGAATAAATAAATTTCGGGGATTGGTTTCACGGCGTTTTCCTTTCGATGTGATCATTCACAGGAATCATATGACACTTGCGGAGAGAGTAGGCTTGCTATCCGCTGAAGTCGACTGATTGTCGTCCGAGCTCAGAGAAACAGTCCGCGTATTTCAGTGTGTATTTGTATATCCATGATTTCCTTGAGAAATGCACAGACAAAACACTCATCACAGACAGCGAGAAGACGGTAATTTGGTGAAAAATTTAACTGATTCTATACAGCGTTGATTATATGAATAACTCGAAACTGCATCAACAGTACTGTTATGAAACTATGAATTGCAGATACGTTTTCAATACATAACGAGTATTGTAGAACGATCAGTTGGCAAAACTCCAGCCTTAAGAAAAGTGTCGAATGATATCGGCAACTTAGGACAAAAATGACTATATCCACAAGAATTTCACGTCTAATAAGTCCAGCACACAGTCCCAAATCACAATAACGTTGATTCACTAGTACAAAGTCACATCGTTATACAGCGCATCATCAGTGACATCATCACACAACCACAAAGAGAAGCAATAATATTTGAGATTGAACAGGCAGAAAGACATTTATTAAGGATCATGCCAACATGTGATATGCGAACGCCAGCAAAATCATATGCATTCTAAGGGTAGTTACCATCAGAAGTGTACATGTAGCTCGTTGTGAGAAGAGATACGCGATCATAACATTGATCGTAGAATTTAGAATCCAGTCCAAGTGCATGAGTGGTGCGTGAGTTTGATTTGCGACCTTGCGGTCCAGCGTCCCTCATTGTTGCTGTCATAAATGTATGGTTACCAATGGTACTCTATGTGACGTGAGTTCTTGGCGAAATTTGAAGTGATATCATAGTTTTCCTGGATTCATTCTGGACATAGTAGAAACAGATACAGTTATGTGGCTTTTGCTTGTCAGATTCAATAACTGGTTTTCGTAGGCAGTTTCTATCCACACATGTCTCCACTGGTGCCTCCATATCGAAAATCCCATGACCAGTCAGCGAGAATAAACGACAAGGATTTCTGGAAGGCATTAAGCCAGCCTCCCAAGAACCACTCACCACCCAGCCATCCGATATGCAGAAGAGGATGGAGATAGGTGGTTTGAATATCTGCACTTTTAGAGCAAGACATGTTGGCAAACAGTGTGGTTGTCTTCATACTCCACTCTTATTTACGCCACATTACATATTTTAATCAACTTGACCAATGACAGGGAGTTACCACGAAGTTGGTAATATTTATATACGTAGGCAGTTCAGTAAATAAATAAATAAATTAGGTGGTCTTCAAATTGACGTAGTACTAAAGGTGAAGTGACAGATACCCTGGGTTTCAATGAACGTCATAAGGGAATGAAAGAAATGGAAGATATGAGAGTGTGGGTAGTAGGTTATGTTTTGAATAAGAATCAACAAAAGTCAAATGAGAAACGAAAGTAGAACAAACTGCTTTTGTATGCAAAGACTAGGATTGTTCTCTTTAGAATTCATGGATAATCCCTATCCAGGCATTAATGAAAACAAAACACGTAGATCAGCGAAGAGTCTCTTTTCGGCGAATTCATTTTCTTAGCTGTACAATCGCAAATATATATTCATTGTTTTGTATGTGTGCGTACATTAAGTTTGTCAAACAAAGTTACAATTGGTTAAGGTTACTTTTAACTAAACAAGTGAAGGTTGGTAATAAAGGTCAAGAAAATTAAATGTTAATGAGACTAGGGTAGTAACAAAGGTGATGAGTTGTCACAAATAGTTGTAATAATAATAGTGAGTTTTACTCAGGATGCACATAGAAACAAAGTAGATAATACGAATTATATTATATTATTATTATTGTATCCTTTAGTTCCTAGAGGAACATAGGGCTTCAGCTGCGCACCTCCATTGACTTCGGTTTTTTGACAACTTTTTCACCCTGCTCCAGGTCTGCCCACATGCTTTCATCTCCTCTTCATACGACCTCCTCCAAGTCACCCTTGGACGACCAACTTGCCGCCTCCCTTTCGGGTTCCACTCGAAGGCTTGTCTAGTGATGTCACTTGTTGGTTTCCTCAGCGTATGGCCAATCCATCTCCATTTCTTTCTGCCTATTTGTTTAACAATCGGTTCCTGATTGGTTCGCTCCCAGAGATCCCTGTTGCTGATCTTTTCTGGCCATCTGATCTTGAGTATTGAGCGGAGACAGTTGTTAATGAAGGTTTGAAGTTTGTTTGAGATGCTCTTTATGACTCGCCAAGTCTCTGATCCGTATAGTAGCACTGACTTCACATTGGAGTTGAAAATCCGGATCTTATTTTTGATGCTGAATGCTGTTGACCTCCACACAGATTTGAGAGTAATGAAAGCTTGTCTTGCTTTTCCGATTCTGGCTTTGATGTCCTCGTCAGTTCCGCCTGTAGTTGAGACGATGCTTCCCAGGTAGGTGAAGGAGGTTGTTTCTTTCAGGTTCTTCCCATTTATGCTTATTGTGGTCTGTTGTTGCTGTTGATGTTGGCAAGGAATCTTCATTATCTCTGTTTTATCTATGTTCACGTGAAGTCCTATCTTTGATGCTTCTTCTGCCAACTTGTTACTTTTCATTTGCATATCTTCCAGTTTATGGGAAATCAGACATATATCATCGGCGAAATCCAGATCCTCCAAGTCTTTTGTGTCAGTCCATTTTATGCCTGTTCCCTCGTTGGTTGACGTTGTCTGTCGCATTATCCAATCGATTGCAATCAGGAAGATCATTGGTGATAGTAGACAGCCTTGCCTCACTCCCGTCCTCACTTCGAAGGCTTCCGTAAGTTTCCCGTTGTGGATTACTTGGCATGCAGAATTGTCGTATAACTGTTGAATGAGGTGTATAATTGTCGATGGGACCCCGTAGTAGCGAAGTAGTTGTCAAATGACCTCTCGATCGACGCTGTCGAAGGCCTTTTCAAAGTCGATGAAGTTGAGATAGAGAGGTGACTGCCATTCCAAGCTTTGTTCAATGATGATCCGTAGAGTGGCGATTTGATCAATACATGATTTGTTTCTCCTGAATCCAGCCTGTTCCGGACGAAGTTTTTCATCTAGGGCTTGTTTGATTCTCTCCAGGATGATGCGACTTAGTATCTTGCTTGGAATGGACAGAAGCATAATTCCACGCCAGTTTTTACATTGACTTAAGTCTCCTTTCTTTGGAAGTTTGAATAAGTAACTGTTCTTCCAATCCTCGGGTACTTTGCCCTCTTTCCACACCTTCTCCAGTAGTGGTGTCATCAAGTCCGCTGTTGTCTCTGGGTCTATTTTCAAAGCCTCTGCTGGGATTCCATCTGGTCCCGGTGTTTTCCCAGTTTTAAGCATCTTGATTGCACTCAGGACTTCCGATTTCGTCGGGGGGTCAGTGTTCACTGGTAGTTCTGCTTCCGTTGTTGGTATTGCTGGGCGTGTGTGTGAGAATTACCAAAGCGTCGAATATTTGAAAGAGTTTGATGTGAATTGCGCTTGATAGTTTCTATAGAATTCTTAAGAAAATTATGAAGGCCTTTCTTCCCTCAACTTGACAAACGCTATCATCAATAAAACTGAAACAATAAAGAACTTGTTTGAGATGTTCCTTGTGCTTTTATGAAGCACTAAGGAAGGAAGATGTTAAGTAATGGATTTGTTCAGGTGTATAGCTGTCCACCCGATATAACTTTCTCCACAAGAGCAGCCAAATTTTTAAGTACTTACAGAAATGACAGAATCAGACCGTTTGTCTTTCGCTTATGCAATCAATATTTGTCGATATATAAACATTGATGGCATTAGAAGTGGGTTTAATGGCTGTGCACAAGCCTAGACATAATTCCCTAATCACGTTTCATGAACGTTGACTTTGAAGTAATTTGAAAAAAGTGCTTCAACGCTTTGGCGTGAAATGTTTGCGACTTTGTCAAGCTCATTCAACAGATATATCAGAATGCCACGTGTAAAGCTGTCTTTAAAGGAAAAGTCTGAGAAGAGTTTGAAATGGACGTAGGAGTAATTTAGCGCTGCCTCTTATCACCGATGATATTCTTTTATTGTGGTTCGATGGAAATAAGTCGAGTACTCCATAGAATGAGAAGATGGGATAATACATGACCGACCAGAAGACTCTAGAAGATCTGAATTTCGCAAACGACGCAAACACTCGAAGAAATACAGCCGAAAAGCAACACCCTGGCTATAGAAGCAGGCAGCAAAAGATAGGACTCCAGATGAACATATACAAGTTGATGGTGATAAAGATAACCTGACAACAGCAAAAGGATCAACACCGATCACCATCAACGGGGGGAGATTTGACAGGAATGAATTCCCATCACTTCTCTAAGCAGTGAGAATGGTTTCAACCACAGACGGTCGGAACGGATGAAGACGTCAACACCAGTACGATATCGAACGGCGGGATAAGCCATCGTCAATCTGAAATCAGTTTGGAAATCTTCTGCATTGACTAAACATCAGGGAACATGATTAAGGTTTTCAGCACAAATTTTAGACGAGTAGGTCAGTTCTCATTTATGAATAAGAAACATGGCGTGTGCAATAGGCTACTGCATACGTTTATCAATAGTTACATTCACTGGCTCCATATGAAGAGGGCAGCATAAAATAGAACATAGTGAAGATGTTTTGTTGAAACCTCATGACCAACTTGGAAGACAAGGGAATAATTTTCATGAAATGTAGGTTTTGATGACGACTGTTTGTATCTGTAAATGTTTTCTCAAAAGATCTCTGGCGTTATTCGAACGGCTGGTATTCTAGTGAATTTTCAGTTAATTGTCAAACTGACATAATAAGGACTTAACATTCAATAAGAATCAAAACTCACGTACGATAAGTCATGTCAAGAGAACAATCACATCTAATTCAAATGGATTGGAGAGTGTGAAAAAAGACAAAGCAACCAGCTTACCAGGAGGGTTGATCAATAAATTCGAAGGGAAATTGAAAAGGCCCCTTGAATTTGAGGTGTGCACGTTTT